CGTCCCCGCGCACCCACTGCTCCGCCAGCCCGGCCGACGCCGCCCGGCCTGCCGCACGCACGCGCGCGCGCGCCAATGCCTCTCCATACACAACCGCTTATCACGCAGCGCAAATACAAAAGTTACGATTTTGTCTCCCAAGAATCCGGATCTGCAGTAAAAAACGGGTGTTCCTATTTAACTTTTTATTGCTTCCCTAACCACAGCCTAGGGGGTATGGGTATGGCGTCATTAGTATCATTGGCTGGGCCCTGCTTTCATTACCCACTTTTCTTAATCCGAGATTTTCCCAAAATTAGTTTTAAATGGAACACCAGGTATATGAATAAGTAAAATATAGGATATACTAAACAAAAGTTTGGCAATTCTTATTCTTAAATGCCGCCGCTGCAGGGGTGAGCTCACCGAGCAGCGGTCGACGCGGCGGCGAGCAGCGGCCGAGCCGCGGCGGCGTCGTACAGCCACGTGACGAGGCACGGGCACTCGCGCGCCACGTGCAGCGCCGGCGGACTGGCCCCGCGACGCGTGCCGAGTTTTCCAGCGCGCGGAACGAGGTCATGAGCGGACCACGAAGCCGCCGAAGTTCCGCGCAGCCACTCGTCGCCGTTCTTCGCCTGCATGCGCGCCAGCAGCTGCGACGCCGCGTCTGCCGCACGCGCGCACGCCCGTGACTGTAGTGCATGCTTTTTTCGCGGGAGATGGCCGTGAACATCCCCCGCTGGATTGTGAGCCTTGACGCCGACCTACTCGTCGGATTGCGGGGTTTTCCCCAACCACGTATCTCCCACCAGCAGAACACCGCCTCAGCTGGGACAATCTCCAAGCTCCCGACATGCGTGGGAGTGTAGTGCATGTAGCTGTAAGTAAGGGGCGCGGATAGGACGAGAAGAGGAAGAAAAGGTCGCACGCAGTTCGATCACGTCGTGGCCCGTTTTTTATCCTACTACTCCGGCATTCGCCAGGTTTGGATCGGAGAAACCACGGAAAATTACCGATCCGAGCATCCGGCCGCTAGAATTATCTTTCAGATAGCGGCTAGGTTCAACATAGTTATGGAACTTGTGTCGAAAGTCCTGCCACCGACGGGGCTCGAACCGTAGGACCTCGCGGTCAGAGGCACTGCACTAACAATTGACGCCCTGAGCAACCAAATTTGGAACCGTTTATTTTAATTTAACCTTCGTACCATACACGAGGTCTTTCTGATTTCCATCATCATTAATTTGTTAATGTATTCCTAAATACTTGCGGAATAATTTCAGTCTTCTAAATATGCTATCGTGCACTTATTAAACAGCTACCAAACCATTTTCAGATAATTTACAAATTTTATTAGAGACCTATTATTTTGAAACATTTTGTTCGGATAGAGCTAAATCTGAACACACTTAATACACTCATGGCACATACGCCATTTTGGTTTTTCAAAATCTACACAAAGGTATTTTTTAAAATATTGTTCACATCGTTAATATTTACATTACGAGCAGTTTTTTTTATACATTAATTCATTTCGGCACAAAGTGCGTGAAATGATTTTTAACGAAATTTCTAGAAAACTCAAAACTTTTCTTTGAAAATGAGCCAAAAATTGCGCATTTTCTAAAACGCTCAGACCACATTTTTTCAAGAACGGCATCAAAATTTTATAATACAAATTTACAAATAGAGCAATTTTTTGCTCTTCTGTAATATTCTTAAAGACATGTTTCGTTTTCATTCTTAGGGAAACGAAAAATTGAAGAAAAAGAAGTGGTTTTCGCGCCGTTAGGTAGCACATGGGAAGAGGGTGGTGCAATACCGAAACGCTAGCTTACATTAAAGAGATTAGAAAACTAACTAGTTCCAGAAATTCTGTGCAATTCTGTAGCACTACTAGTTTGAAACGTGATCATCGTCCATTCGTGCCCAAAGCATAACAACAGGAGAACATTTTAAATTGAATACAGAACAGAATAATTACAGATACAAATTAAACAGATAACAGAAATTACGTTGTAAAGTAAAATTATTTTAACTACTTTACACAGTGTAAAGGTTCTTATTGACCGATTTTTAAAATATAAAAATAAAACTATTGTTCCAACCAACTCGAGGAAGCTATAACTATAGGCAAGATTGCTCGGATATAAACGATACGCTTTAAAAACCTCTCGCGTTGCGTTTACTTTATAAAAAGAGGCTAATATATATATTCCATAATTATGTGAAAGTGTTTGTTAGTCTCATACTTCTGACAAATAAGGTAATCAAGAAGAAAGAGTGAAGGGTGCAAATGAGTTTAACTTCTAAAGATCGCGTGAATGTTCGATTTTTCAATCAAGAGAACTTGAGAGTACTTTGGAAAGTTTCTCTGGCGAACTAGAGAATACACTACAAGTTTTTATTCATGCGGTTAAAGAGCAATGTTTTACATCTAACAGCTGTGAGCGAGCCTTAGCGAAAAGGTACGACATTATGAGTATTGGTAGTAGAAAATTCATGAAACATATACAAGTAAAATACGCTATCGATAGTTTTTCGTTGTACTTTGATTTTATGTATTTCTGTCATTTCATTGGTTTGTTAGGATGGACTATTTCTTTGTAATGTATGTAGGTATCTCTTCCTTTTGTCTCTTTTTCTATAATATTTGAAGAAGGTCGCAAGACGTATGCAAGAGCCTATTGTTACATGCGCGATCAACTATCAAAAAACTGTTTCACGTAGTTGACATGAGATTGAATTCGTTGAGAAGAAGCATTAGAAAACTCACTCATTTCACAGTATGTGCAATGATATTTTATCATATAGATATTATTCCATTTTTAATACAAAACTCGTATAAGAGTACATCACTAGGAGATTTTTCAACCAACCTTGGTAAACATCTTAGTCTTGTAAATCTATAGGAAGGAATATTTTCTTAACACCTCTAGAAAAGGGGGTGTGGTGGACATAACACGTAAAAATAAGAACATCAGTATGCAATCCCCAAGCATCTCACTGCTACTCCTAGCAATTACTATTGTAGCAATCCACAAGCGGGTGTGTGGATGGGGCTAGTAAGGACTGTCTAATAAATGACGGCGATAAAAAGCCGGCCAAAGATAGATAAGAAAACAGTAATAATATAACCTGCATAGTACAGAAAATCATTGTGCTTGCGTACCATTGCCCTCACTTTTGAAGTATTTCTGGACGCCCGTTCCCCCGTAAACGGGAAGGCCCGACGCCAACAGTTGCTCCAATGTGTCCAGCTCATTTCGACGAGGCGGCGCTGCCAGCTGACCCGTGAACGCCCCCTTAAAAAGATGAAAAAACACATTGATGAGACCATTTAAAGAAGTTCTTATTTCTAGAAATCATTACTCAATGGCTTTGAGGTTAAACACGTAACACCATGAAGTATGATGATAAACAGCAATGTCTTATTGTCAAATGCCATTTCTCTTTAAATTTTATTATTTTATATTTATTAATTGTAGTGATATGTTATCAACATGTTTTGAATTTCTAAAAAATAATATTTCTCCAGAATGTATGCGGTTTTTTCTTCGAAATGCATTTTATTCAACTTTCTCAAATTTCTTAATTGATTGTTACCACTGGTAAACATCAAACGATTTTAATCTGCGTTTAAAAGACGATGATTTATTTATGTATTCANNAAATTTTACTTTATAATATTTCATTGTAATTACTATTGTTCCCTTATTAACAAAGGCATATAGCAGTACTGCAGAAATTGTTTGAATTCTTTGAAAGGATGTGAGATTCAACAAGACTGTTTGCATCATCTCTAAAAACTTGTAGTACTAATCATTAAAGCACAGTATTGAATTGCCAGACAACATATATGTTGAGAAAAATGAAGCTCCGATATGAAATAAAATTTAAATTTATTTCTCTAAAAACATATTAAATCTTTATTTTAAATTTCTGTAAAAACATATTAAACCTGAAATTATAATATCCATCATATACCTATTTTCAAATAACTATGGTGGCCGATGGTTTAAAACAAACAAACTCCAAGGGCGCGTAGGTGTATCAAAGATGTACGGTGTCGCCAATGAACATGCGATGGAAAATATGTCACAAGGAAGCTACACTTTCTCATCGCACCTCTGATAAATCACTCTGCATTGACATTTATGAACTTCCACGAGACGACTGAGTGGCAAGGACATGAACCATTATTTGTTGTTTATCGTTCAGCATAGATTGCCCCAGAAGTTACTTCGTTATTGCATACATTCATAGACGTCAAATCGAGAAATTTCTTTAGTAGGCAGGTTGTCAAGTATCAATGAGTTTGTGTACTGGCAAGACATCTGCATCGGATGGGTTGCCTATCAGGCAGGGGCCGAATGCCAAAAATTGGTTTTATATAGCTTCGTTATTTGAGATTTTCCTAGTTGTTCATTTTAAAACAAATGGCTCAACATTAGCGCATTCTTTCTTGCACTATTTCGAAATTTTCAATTTTCAAAAATTAGACACTTCAACGGAAACGAGATCTGCGTCACTATTTTAAGCGTCCCTTGTGCTATGCATGGAAAACAATTGCAGTGTTTTTTGAGAAAATGTCCTTTAATAAATTTTTATTAACTTCAAGCAGAAAATACGCAAAAAATACGTTTTTTCAATAAATTGCACAAGATATTTTCTAAAAATCTGATTTTTCAGAACATTTTAATTATTGAATTAATTTGGAAAATATGGAGAGTTCATAAAAAATAAGACTACTACCACTTTTTAACGTTCTTTGCCACATAAAAGGAGAAAATTTAAAGACAAAATTGGCGACGTTTTGAGGGAAGGAAATGTTTAAAATTTGCTTGAATTTTTTGAAGCAAAATTACGTGAAAACTACTTATAATTTCAAAAAAACGAGCATGACCTTATTTCATGATCAAAAATTCAATAACAGATATAATAAAAAAAATATTTTTACTTAATATTATAATTGTAGGAAGGTGGAAAGAATATGAACTTTTGAAATTTTCGAAAAATTCGGGATTTCAACAATCATTACAACTGCACCATTGAAACGTTCTTTATGCATTCCTAAGACAAAGTTTAATAAAAATTTGAAGCTATTTTTTTTAACCTGAAAATGTTTTTGAAGCTGCATGTAAAGTACCCTCAAAATGTAAATACCCATCTCATACTCAGAGGGCATTTTGTTTCTTTAAATAGACTGAGGATTTCATTTTCGAAGAAAATCAGCTGAACTGTTAAGCAGAAACTTCGACCACAGACGAACGGACAGACGGACGTTTTGCCGTCAATCAATTTTTGGGTATCACGGACCCACAATACATGGATCATGACCACACAACGAGTTGCAGTTAAGAGCGAAGAGTAGAGGAAGTAATTCATTATATTAACTGGAACAAGATGTATTTTATATTTTTTTACTAGTACCCGGCAATAAGTGCTTTTCTGTCGAAAATTCATGGTTTTCCGGCACGCGATTACAATACTTTCTAAATTCCGTGGTGGTAGCAGATATCTTGTGGTAATCCATTATATGGTAAAGGAAATAATCTCCACAAAGGTTTAATAATTTTT